AAAAACACAAACAAGGCTAGAGATGGTGTTCAGTAATAGGACACTCTTGGGTCCAATAACCAGCACGGGGGGCGGGGGCATAATCGCAATAGTTCTGTTGATAGTCCCAAATTGTTCGCTTGTTAGGAAAAGAACCAAGAAAATACTGTTGACTGGAGGGGACATGAGCACAGCTGGCTCACACCGTAAGACTCTACAAAATGCGTATGGGCCGACGGGCACTGACCAACACACACGCCCTGGAGGTGCAGGAGAGGCTACCAGCCCGAGAAATAAAGGAGACTGCGCTAACCGAGGCAGCGACGCTTGGGATGGGCCGAGACGGGCGGGAAACCGACGTGCGGCGAGCTGCCGCTCCGGGTGCAGCAGAACTTACATCTTGTCCTTCTGGTGCTGTCGTTTCCCCATGGCGGCGGAGCTGGCAGCGGCAGAACCTGCACACGCAAAGAGACGAAGCTGGACAACTTAGAGCCCGGGTTTCCACCAAGTCCGTCGGCTACTTCCGGGCTTGTGTCCCCGCCCCGGAAGCTGGCGCGGGGCATGCTGGGCGGCTGCGGCGGCTAGGAGACCGGCTGCTCGCGTTGGGGTGTGACCTGGCTCGTGTCTACCTGCATGGCGGGGGAGGCTGTGTGTGTGTGTGTGTGTGTGTGTGTGTCTGGCCTTGGCTGTGTGTGTGTGTGTGTGGCTGGCCTTGAATTCAACTTGTAGCCCAGGTTGGTCTCAAAGTCGCAGCTATCCGAGTGCTGGGATTACAGGCGTGCGCCACCACACCCCTCTATTTTTGATGTCTGTCCAGAGAAAGCAAGTGGGCTAAGTTTTGTGTGTTGTGTGCCCTAAATTGTGTGTGTGTGTGTGTGTGTGTGTATTTTATTCCTCCAGCCCGTTTTAGTTTGAGACAACGTCTTGCAAGACCAGGCTGGCCTTCAGCTTGTGTTCCTCCTGCCTCAGCCTCACAAGTAAGGCTTGTGAAGGCAGCTCCCTAGATCTCTATGGACCTTTGCTATCTACTCACTTTTCACTCTCCAAGCACTTGTTCATGGGCAATTGATCCTTATTGCCTCTGGGCCCCTCAGTTACTTAGAGAAGTGGTCAAACCTGGAGATCCAAAACCCTCCCTGGTCCCTTAGGTCTCTTCTGGTGCATGAGTACACCTGTGTGTCCTGTCCTGGCTTTTGTCTACATCAGGCTTCTGAGTTTGCCCAAGATTGTTTTTGTTTTTTTTTTAATTTATGTGTGTGTGTGTGTGTGTGTGTGTG